TTTAAACGAGGTGGTGTAGATGCAAGTTTTTGGAGGGGTGGATATTCGTTTTAAAAAAAAACGGCTACGTGTGGACTAGGCCTCAGTGGGAAAGCTGTGGATGTTTCTGATATTCACGCATAGTCTGGATATTTCCATGATCCTGGAATGTTACATGCTTTGACATTCTTCTCTGATTTCCTCTTACCCAACAAGCTAGTGGGCTAGCATCAGCAATAGCTCGAGCCATCATTAGCAGTGGCTCCGATTTGCATTAGCAGCTCTGGCTAGCATTAGCATTAGTTTGGCTAAGCATTTTTCTGCAGTTAGTATTACTGTGACCACCGATTACACATTGCTGACGTTGAGGTGGGTTGGGATAAGCGATCATAAGGTCGTGTCTCTAAGCTTTTGATATATTAAACCAGCTTTCCTCACAACAAACCATTACAACATTATTAATGTACATAGAAAATAGACTTTTTAGTACTACTGACCCCTCCTGCCTAAATTCAACAACAAGGTAAACGTGGATTTAAATTCTAGGATCCCCTTTAAAAGTAACCAAAAGGCAATAAAACCATAAAAATTTAAAAATATGTTTAAATAATCACCGCAAGGAGTGGTGTAAACACTACAAGTATCCTTTTTGATGAGAAAGTGATCCCATTTACTAAGATTGCCTCTCAAGAAGCACATAAAGTCGCATCACTTCCTTGGTGCCAAAACAGAGCAGTCACTAAAAGAAGTAGGTCACTGAGGATTCCATTCATTTGTACACCACTTTCCAAATAGTTTTCCACTCAGCCCAAAACTTTGAGCTGAAAGTTAACCCTTATGCAACCTGGGTCTTTTATTAGTCATCGGAAGAACAATTTACAATGAAACAAACCTTCTTTAGAGACAACAGAATAGTTTCCTTCATGTTTTGATACGACTGAAAACATCACAAAACTGTAACACCAAACAATAGGCTAGAATTCAATATCAGAACTGGTATTTTTAAAAAAAGGAAGGAAAACTGACACATAAGCCTTACCCCAGCCCTTAAGCACTCGAACAAGTTACCACAACATACCAGAGGGATCACGTAACTAGACAACTTTCTTAGTCTCCCCCTTTTCAGCAACATGTGTTCTCACGTTAGGTGTACAGCTCCACTGAATCCTTCTAACTTAGCTGAATCAGCTGATGGAAAGCAACCACAAGTTGACACAAGCAAAAGACAAAACAGTAATTTGAGGAAATTTTCTCTCTAAAGGCACAGGAGGTATAAATCCATGAAGTTTTAAATTTACACACAGCAACACACTTCATCTATGTGAAACACCTTGTTCATGTGTGTGCATCGCTACCCGTTTTAGGGTGTAAACTGCTACTGCTGACCGCCAACAGCTGGTGGCAGACAGACGGAGTTAAGTGTGTGAACATGAGAGACAGGGAGGAGTGTCCATAGACAATTCATCCTTAAGAGGTGTTCATAAGCTAGAAAAGAAACACACACACACACACACACACACACACACACGTCATTTTTAAAGTGATGATCATTTCTTAGGCAAATTTCCAAACAGAAACTAAATGCTTAAAGAAAATTATTTTTAACTACTTTGGGTATGCTGACAATGGGAAAGTTGTAGAATAAAGAGAAAGAAAATCATTTAAGGTCTCTGCTTTTTGCAGATGATGTGGTTCTGTTGGCTTCACCAGAACGTGATCTCCGGTTTCGCTGAAGCGGTTCGCAGCAGAGTGTGAAGCAGCTGAGATGAGATTCTGCTCCTCTAAATCTGAGACCATGGTCTTAAATCGGAAATGCCTTCTCCAGGTCAGGGATGAGGTCCTGCCCCAAGTGGAGGAGTTTAAGTGTTCAGGGTCTTGTTGTGAGTGAGGGAAAGCTGGAGCGTGAGATCAATAGACGGATTGGTGCAGCATCTGCAGTGATGCGGTTGCGGTACTCATCTGTCGTGGTAAAAAGAGAGCTGAGCTGAAAGGCAACGGTCTTGATTTACTGGTGGATCTTCGTTCCTACCCTCACCTATAATCACAAGCTTTGGGTAGTGACCAAAAGAATGAGATTGTGGATACAAGCGGCCGAAATGAGTTTTCTCCGCAGAGTGGCTGGGCTCTCCCTTGGAGATAGGGTGAGAAGCTCGGTCATCTGGGAAGGGCTCGGAGTAGATCCGCTGCTCCTCCACATCGAGAGGAGCCAGTTGAGGTGGCTCGGCACATGTTCAGGATGCCTAATGGACGCCTTCCTGGTGAGCCCAAGTGGTTGGGGAGAGGGAAGTCTGGGCCTCTCTGCTTAAGCTCTTGCCCCCACGACCCAACTCCGGATGAGCGGAAGAAAATGGATGGGAGAATGGTAAATCGTTTCATTCAGGACAATATCACCAATACAAGAACCTGAATGAAATATTTTCATTGTTTCCCAGCCAGTAGCCTTGGGCAGTATTACCGTATTACCATAAACAGCCGGTGTTAAAAAAAATAGCAATGGTATCAGTTACAAAACAGTAATGAATAAATAAATAATTAAATAAATATAAACTGTGCATGTAGAAGGCAAGGATTAAAAAATAAATAAATACAAAAGACAAAAGTAATTTATTGCACAAAAAAGATGCATGATTGATTTTCAGTTTTACTGAAATAGTTTTAAATGTTTTGTCCAAATTTGGAGACATTCTGATGGAAAATATGCTGGCAGTCTTCCCCAAATGGTAAATGGCAGTTAATGAGTTAAAAACATTGACATTGAGCTCATGTTTACTTCGCAATACATTTGAGATTAGAATGCCTCAGTGCTAAATAATAAATAATAACAAATGCAGTCAAAAGTCCCATGACAAATTTATAACTGCAGTACGTTTTCAGCCTCTGGTATTGCTCGGCGGACCTCAGTTTGATTGGTTTACCTCAACACAAACAAGAGACATCAGCCACTGCTACGGACATCTTCCTTTATTTTACATGAACTAAAAGTAACCATCTTCACAAAAACAAGTGTGTGTCTTCCATTTTTTATTTATATTATATCAGTTTCCAGTTTTTCTGAGATGTTATGGTTCATACAGAAGTCAAGGAGCTCTGATCCACCCAATGAACTAGAAGATGTAGAAGCCAGGAACACCTGTCGTTGGGTTGTAATAAGTCACCATCTGTTGCCTCCCCTACCTTAAAACTGCTGTGATATCCGACAGTGTGAAGAAGCTTGAGTTTGGGAGTGGTCAAAGAGAACCTTTTATAAACTCAGCTTTGATGTCTCCAGCTTTATCTAACAAAAACTGGCCTGTGTCAGTCACAGGTACAGAAACCTTGTGAGTGCTGATGGAAACTTGTGATGGAACACTGACGTTCACTAGCATAAACCAGCAGATCTCAGTGTGTGCAGGTGCTGTCATAGGCACACCGAGACCTTTGCTCTCTATAGCAGCAGCACTTCATTCTATTTCTCACAAGTCCAGCTGGTTGCCAGGGTTTTTGTTACCATGGCCATGCTGCAGTGTGATGCAACATACCCAGCCAGGACACCCCCCCCCCCCCCCCCCCACCCTATGAGTTCTTTGGCACGACACCAACTCCAAAAGTACTACAGCACTATGGGATGCCACACTAATCAGCTGAGGGCCTGGTCAAGCCACAGAACCAACAGTTAATGCAATGCACACTCCTACCATTTACATACTGGCTTCACTTCATCAATGATTCAACTATTGCATTGAACAAAAGAAACTAAACAATACACCAGACAAGTGAAATTCTACAATGCTTGTCAGTAGTTGGTGCTTTTATTTTTTTTCCTGTTTCATGCAAAGCATAAGGCCTAAAGACTAGCCTGGCAAGACATCCTATATATGTAAATATATGGTCTGGCCCATGACCCATTGATCTAGTCATAGGCCAGAATCTACAATTGTCTTTCAAACTGTCTACGCACACAATTGAACAGCAAAAGGACTAACTAGAGCAATAAACAATGTGACATATTCATCTCTGTGGAAATCAGTTAATGGGGCAGCACACTATACACCATCAAAGAAGAAGAAGGAAATTCATCTTTTTCATGTCTCAAAGTAAAGCCCAAGTCTAAATTGTCCAAAGTTGATCTCAAAGCCATTTCAAGTGTGAGCTGTTCTTAACTAACGCCATCTTTGTAGTTTTGCCTCCGTTGCTGCACTGGTGCTAAGCCTATCATAGGGAGCCTAAGTCACGCCCATCTACTTCGGGACCATGGGTCCACGGAAGAACGAACACATGAATGCAAGTCAATGGGGTTAACAATGCTATTTGGTAATTCCGCTTGTTATGTTCCATGGATTTCACATATGATGTCCGTCAATTTTAAAGCTTTTTGATACCAAGAATGCACTTATTTTCGAACGAGGTGAAATGCTATTTTAGGTTTTGTGTGAAAATAAGTCCAGGACTACAAATGCGCTTCACGAAAGTGACGTCATCGAACCAGACACGGAGAAAACTGAGGAAAATTTTCCATTTTTTCGTACTTCCGGGGGCCTATGAGCCGGCTGGAAAGGGAAGAGACTCAGGTCCCCTATGTCTCTCTACAAACATGGAGTACTGCGATTGGCCAGACCTAAAATTGTTCGAGCCCAACGGTAGACCTGCTGAGGCTACAATGGAGCGTGGCTAGACCGACCTGCAGAGCAAAGTCTTGCTACTGCTACGGTCGGCCTAGATTTCTAGGCTGCCTGAAGATGGAAAAATTATTCTTTAAAATACATAAACAAACAGAAAACTGCAAAGATTAATAAAGTTTGTGGATTTAAACAATAAAGATCTCTCTTATAACCAGAAAAACACAGTGGATAAAAAAAAAAATCACTCCCTTAGAAAAACTTCTAACTTTTTGCCTTACAGCTTTAAATGAAAACACTAAAAGCTCTTTTGTACTCAGCAAAAACTGCTGAAAATTTCCTGCAATCCAAAGGATAGCCTGATAATCCCAGAATAACACTGTTGTAGTAGAAGGAAACTATCACTTTAAGCTGAAGCGGTCCTACCTGGATTGTTGGCTTCTCCTTCCAGGACCTGCAGCTCAGTGCATTCAGCGAGTGAGTGCTCCAAACAGAGCTGCAGGAAGCGGGCCTGGGTCCTGCTCACCCTCTTCAGCAGGGAGAGCAGAGCCACAGTCTGCTCACACTCGTTCCATCCCTTAAACCAGCTGGCTAGCACGCCCACCTGATCACGAAACATCATGGTCTGTGTGGCAGGATGGAGCAGCGCTGAATGTAGTGGGCAGGGCTCCCAAGCTAGGGAGTTATCGCCCAAGCTTTACAATGCTGGTGAAATTAATGGGGAGGGCTGCAATGATGGTAGCGATGTGGCAATCAGTAATGGTCAGATGAGGCACTGGAATACCATTCTTAGTAGGGAAACTGGGACACCAGATTCTGTCAGGCTGCAGAAGAAAAACGGTGTGACCTGCAGCAAATGCTAGGTATATTCCTGTTGGAGGCGTTTTCACACCACTCCTCTTGTATAATAATCTCCTGTGATGAAAGTAAAGGGGAGTGGGTCCGTCTCTAGCTAGGCATTAGTTGATCTGAGCTGCTTCTGGCTGCTAAGTCGATTTCAGAGGGATTGACATTTGATGAGTCAGCTTTCTTCCAGCTCAGAATGTGTCACATCAGCTTCAACCTCTGGCATGTTTCTTCAAAGGATCCCTCTTAGACCTGCAGAAAGAATGCAGACTCCAATGAAGTAAAAGACAGTGCACTCTGTGCCTCTTTGTGAACTCTTCTGCTCAGTTCTTGGAAATCTACTTGCAGCCTCACCCTGTTACTTCAGACCTGGCTGTTTGCTGCTGCTGCATTTGGGAATGTTTTAGAATAAAATCTGCCAGTAAAAATGTACATAAGCATTTATAGCTGTCGTCTATGCGCATGGGCTTGTGACATCCACCGCTGGGACTAAAATAAAGAAAAATGTTTCTGGTATCCACCCATTTCTAAAAATACAGCTGTCGGTGATAGTAGCTATCCTGGTGTTGTATCGAGATGCGTTCCCCCTTGGAAATCTGCCCCCCACCCCCGCCCGCCCGCTTAAGAGGTGTGTTCCCCTTCATAAAATTTACAAATTCGGTCACGTAAAAATAAAAATATCAACAAATGTACGTAATGACGTCATTATACAGTTTGAGTTTAACTAATGTGTTTGTGTTTTAACAGAACCCTGCCTGGGGTAAAGACCTTTACATTTTACCTGTTACAATAAAATAAATAATATTTTCCTCAAAACACATTTGCTCAAAGAAAAAAAAATGTAAGGAAACGGACAGCGGGGCTGGAAGAGCAACAACCGACGGGGTTACAGATTTCGTCACAACACCAGGTTTCTAAAGGACACCGGGTTATCGATAAAGTGCAGAAGAGACGTCTGTTTCCATTATTCCAGTGATACATTAGTGATTAACGTCTGTGCTGCTAGATGGAGAAAGGCTGTCGGTGTGAGTCTGAGCCCCGGAAACAGCGAAAAGCCCAGCTAGGAGCTGATACTTCAGACTCCAGGCTAAAACTGTCACTTTGCTTCATCAGCAGCACAGTCGCTGACCGCGGACCGATGTGCGCCGGTGGGCAGTTTGTACACAAAGAAACGAACTGACCAGTTTAAATATAAACGTGTGTACTGTTACGTATCTGAGACGTAAGCAGCAGTAACTTTAACACGAGTTTCCCTGAAACAAACATAATTTGAAGTTGCTTTTACCATTCACTTAACTAAACCTGCGCGACTTCAGTTAAAAGCGCGTTCTTGAAGGCAGTGACTTTTTTGCATGAAGACAGAAGAGAAATTGCGACTTGTTTCGGGATAATATCGGTAATGTTTGGTGTTCGTACCTGTGTGCGCAGTTTGCATCGTTGATTCCGTTTCAGGACGAGCGAAGGGCTCAGGTTTTTCCAGGGGGAGCAGTACCCTTTCACTCCGGGTCTGTGGGGTTTACCATCCTGACTAACTTTTCCTCTGTCTCCGCTCAACAGACAAACTCCTCTGCATAAAATAATTTAGTTAGGAGAAGTGAGATATCATCAATGTCCGTTTTAGGATTTCAAAATAAAAGTCTTGCAAATAAATTAAAGGATGATATTTTATTCTTATGGGTAGAGATTTTTTTTACAACTTGCAATAAATTTAGGATAACTAGTATAATTTAGACATTTTAATATTTGTGTGAATTATTAAATGGCATAAACACTACTTATCATTTGCACATGCAACTAATTTGGGAAGGTGATGGCTGATGGAACAAAATACTTTCGATCTGATCTTAGTGGTTCCCAAACTTTTCTGCCTGATATCCACAAAATAACAACTGCCAAAATACATGAGCCCTGATTTATCTGATTTGACGATGCAGACATGATTAAGCAGCTAAATAATTTTGGGGTATAAAAACTCCTTCAACTCACGTACACTATCCGTGTAAGACAGTTTGAGTTTTTGTGATTTCTGTTAAGAATAGCTTCAGCAACTTTTTCATTTTAATTTGATTTCTGGAAATCATCTCATGACCTCCTGTCTTCTTGGTGACCCACAAGATTTGAACCCCATGGACGTGTTTAGCCTCAGGATGCAATAGCTTATTGAGTGAAGCACATATACCTCAATCCTACATGTAGGGTATGAGTTAACCAAATTTTATTTTAATGTTTTAAAGATCTTGACCTTAAGTCTTCATAAATTAATTGTTTGTAAAACAAACAAACCCCAGTTTTGCTTGATGAATGTACCTTTATTTTTATATTCTAACACCAGTCTTAACTCTTAATTATCTTTAACAGTTTGCGTATAACAAACTGCTGATGTGATGAATTGGCTACTGTGTATTTGCAATGGCAACATTTGAATAGTGGTGTTGATGGTCAACAAATCATCACTTTTATTGTGAAGGTCATGCCTTTCTCTTTCCGGTGGTGTTTCGGTCTTTCTGATGTAGGGGGGCTCGCGGGGCTCGTTTCCACATGCTAATCATTAACAGCGGAGCATTACGTCAGGGGCTTGGCAGCGAGAGGAAACACCGAAATAGAGAGTGTGTGTAAAGGGGACACCAGCAACCGAACTGCAGGAAAAATGTCTGGAAAAGCTAAAGACTTACAGTTTATGAAGTCACATCCGCAGAAACATGTCAGATCTATCTGATGTTATTTATTCTAATGTATATGTACAAGTTGTTACTGTAACGTTTAACTTTGTCCATTTCATTATATAGGCTACAATTTGGTCAAATCATTTTGAATGTATGGTTATTATGAATGTTGTAGCTTTTACTTAAATATGTCTGCAACTCTTGCAGATCTCGGAGTCAGTAACATGCTTTTGGTCGAAGGAAAAGAAAATCAGTAACTCTATTTAGGAAGCGGCTTTTGAGCAATTCTTGGAGGGAAAAATAATATATCAATGACACATTTAGAAACGGTTTCGGTATAGACTTGTTGATTTGTTTTACAGTACGATATAAACTTTGTTTTTTGGGTTTCAAAGTTTTATCAGAACTGAAGATTTTAGCTGACGTGATCATAACAGTTCAGAACATCAGGGTTGATTAGCAAAACACCAATGATATGTGTCAGCAAATGTACATAGCAATATTGGTCACTGGCTCTAATACCCAAAGTAAAAAATACAAGTATTACTAAATGGTGTAATCACCTATTTATTTAACAGGATTACATTCCTCAAACCTGTGCGTTATTTAATTCTGCACAAGTCTTCTGCCACATTGTGGAAGATCACAGTACTGAAGGAGGTGAGTGCCAATTACATTTTGCTATTACTGTTGTAATTATGTAGCCTAGTGAACTAGACCAAATTCTTGCTTTGCATATAAATATATGTATATAAAAAGAAGGAAAAAAATTCAGATTATATATATATATATATAAATATATATATATATATATATATATATATATATATATATATATATATATATATATATATATATATATATACGGTATATATACACACACACACACACACTGATAGATAGATAGACAGACAGACAGACAGACAGACAGATAGATAGATAGATAGATAGATAGATAGGTAGGTAGATAGATATGACTCACTCATCATGCAATTCTGAGAGTATGACAATATTACTTTATTCCAGTTTCTTAACTGTCTGAAAAATATTATTTTGAATGTGATAACTGTAGGAGACAGCAAGAAGTTAATGTGTGAAATACTTTCACACATAATCAGAATATATTGTGCAGCTGGGACCATACTTTTTGAATGCACTTCAGAATAATTTGACTTCAGTATAGTTTACAAAATCTGTATAAAGTCCTAGGTTTAACTTTTTCTTCTGACAAAAAAATTGAATTGATGAATGTGCAATTTAAACAATAATCTATAGTAAAAAAAAATACCACATGTGTCGTTAAATTCTTTAATTTTAGGTCATAATCATCAGAACAGAAGATAAGTAAAACAGGTGTAACATAAAAAATATAATATTGGTTTAACCACGTTTCTTAAAGAAATTGTTGAAAATTCTAAGCTTAATATAAATGTAATACTTATCTTTCTTTGAAACGTCAAATGCGTCCAGGTGTTCCAGATTAGGTCAAATGTGTCTAAAAGATAATTAAACAGGAAAAGGATCAATGGAAAACTACCCATCTATGTTGTGAGTAGCTGCTTTTTACCGCCCTCGTGTGGCAGAGGGTAGGTATTACAGCCACGACAACCATGACGCACACGTTACTGATGCATGTCCGTGACCTGAACCGACAGAAAATACGCGCACGTATTTACGGTAACTGGAATTATCGTGTTGTATAAAACCCGGGAATGGTACTGGAGTACATGTGCGATGGCAAGTGTGTACGTGCGCGCGTGTGTATGAGACTCAGCAGCGTGCTATGCGTCACACGTCACGTAGCGGACTGGAAATGAGGAAATATCAGGAAGCGACTCACTTTGCCGCCACCTCACAGCTGCAGCCGCTGACTGACAGGTTTCCTCGTTTCAAAGTAAATTCCCTTCTCGCTTAAAAAGACAAAAAGAAGAAGCGGTGGAAAAGTGTACGGGGTCGCCATGAAGCCGGTGGTCTTCCTGCTCCTCCTCCAGGTGACCGGAAGTGCGCACAGCAGGTGTTTCTGTCAGGTGAGCCACGGTCCGCCTGAGCTTTTATATTTGTGATCAAAGCTGGCAGCAGACACGTAGAGATGTGACGAACGCTGTTTGGGTTAGTAGAGCCAACAAACCATCAAACTCAGACTAAAACGGTTAGTTTACGAGTTTAGTAAAAAGTAGAAACACAAGATCCAGACAGGCCCACTCTGAGTGGGACGTGGAGTCCTTAAACCAGAGTGTTTATAATGTTGCGTTTAAACCATTAAAGAGACAGCTGTCCATCATCTTCTCCATGCTCAGTAGGGTCCTGTCTAACTCTAACGATCACCGGGGGAGAGGCGGGGGACAACCTGGACAGGTCTCCAGTCCATCACAGAGACAAACCACTCACACACTCACTCACAACTGACAGTGTGATCATCCAGTCAGCCTGACATGCATGTTTTTAGTCTGTGGGAGTAATCGGAAATACCAAGAGCACCTCGCATGCATAAAGAGAACATGCTCTCTCATGGGATTCAAACCTGCATCCTTCTTGCTACAAATTGCATCATGCAGCCCCGTCACATCATGTTTGGATTATTTTTCCTGTGCTGCTTTATTTGTATAAAAGTGTATCTGTCTCCTTAAGGTCAAAGGTGACCTAGATGACTGTGACTGTGATGTGGAGACCATCGACAGCTTCAACAACCACCAGCTTTTCCCCAAACTCCAGACTCTCCTGGAGTCAGACTACTTCAGGTTCTACAAGGTATTGTTGGCTGCAGGTTCAAACACACCCAGGCTGATCTGCCCTTTGCTGAGGGCTGTTCTGCTCTGTGTCTCAGGTGAACTTGAATAAGCCATGCCCATTCTGGAAGGTCACCAGTCACTGCGGTCTGAGTGACTGTGCTGTGAAGCCCTGCTCACCTGTGAGTTTCTCTCTACATCTCCATGCAAAAGACTTATTACTTGTAGTTTGCTGCAGAAACATTTTGATCCCATTTCTGTGTTTGAAAATATCAAAGATGTCACAATTTGATTTCTTAGCACCAGCAAAGGGAGCCCTGAAGACCATTAGCTGAAAACCTTTATGTGGAGGATAAAAAATATTTTGTCTACAAAAAAAATCCAAGTTATATCTTTAAGAAATGGGAATAATCCAAAGAAGACTTGAGAGATCATTAATAATCCACCGTGTGTCTGGTTCTCATTGGGTGGTGACAGAGCAAGTAAAGATGGTAGAATGAAGGCAAAACACACTGATGGGAAACAACGTGTTCTGGTGTCATTTATGACCCCATCAGTTTTGATGGTTCTGAGGTGCTTTTGCAGAGTCCCTGCTTGAACATCTGGGCTCCCGTAGCAGCTCTCCTCTGCTTTTACACCAACACAGTGTTTTCTGGTTGGTCATGTAGATTCACTCCGGCTAATCAGTGTCTGTTTTAAACTGCATGATTACTGCAAAAATATTTCTTTGATCCTGACCTTAAACAGGCCAGACTTTAGGGATGTTAGAAAATTTTAAACTATTATGATAAAAGTACATTTCCAGAGTTTTAATCACCAGTAGAAATCACAATTATGCCAGTTGTCCTAAACCAGTTACACGTTTAATATCAAGTGTGAGGAAAATAACTCGGTAATTGGCTAAAACTGTGTTTATTCACAGAACGAAGTTCCTGAAGGTATCAGAGCCTCATCCCATAACAAGGTGAGTCATCCGGGACAGGTGTTGGAGTGTAAAGAGCCGGGGCTCTTCCTCCTGTCCATAT